GATCTTTATAATTTCCTCTCTTGTATGAGCTTTGGGTTTGTTATGCTCTTCTTTTTCTAGGAGCTTGAGGTTCTGCATTAGGTTATTTAACTGAGTTCTCTCTGTTTTCCTTATATGGGCATTCACTGCTATGAATTTCCCACGTAGCACTGCTTTCATTGTGTCCCATAGATTCCACGTATGTTGTACTGGCATTATCATTTACTTATAGAAACTGTCTAATTTCTTCTTTAATTTCCTGTGTGATCCATTGGTTGTTCAGTGAATGCATGTTTTTTCTGTTAGAGGGGGAAGTCTGCTGCTCTAATTTGCTGTCCCTGGACCCTGGACTTGTGTTTCTGAAGATTAGTCAGGAGAGTTCTGCTCAGTGACACTTCATCTTTCAGTTACTTTTTTCTGCCCTGTCGCCAGTCCTGTGTCACTATCCACCTTTCTCTAGCCCTGGCCATATTATTTTTTTCCAGCTCCTTCATGCTTCTACCCCGTTACACTTGCTAAACTCTGGTTTTTAGTCTTCAAGATGACCTCCAGTGGACTTTGAAAGACTAAAGTGGGAGAATAGAGAACTAGACAAATCTTGATTGATCTAATTTAGGGTTTCCCAAAGTGGTACATACACAGGATAAATTTTGTCATAGGTGGACTTTTTTTTGGTTTTGCTTTCACTTTTATAGTTACAGACTTATTTTTCTAACAGTCTATTAGAAAAATACTTAGACAAGGTTCAGGAAGAAATTGCCTCCATTTAAAAGAAAACATTAGAGGCACACATAGGAATAGAAATAGAATAGCTGAGGCTTGGAAAACCCTGTCCTGATCTCCCATGTTTAGCAGATGAGAAATAGTGGTATGAGCTGGTGAGTTCCTCATCCAACATCACAAAGATACTTAGGGCAGAAGCCAGACTACAGGCCTCATCAGTGACGTGGCTTCCCTAGCTTGAGTCCCTGAAAGACCCTTCTGAAGGAAAAGACAGCAGTTGTCCTCCTCTGAGGAGGTCCTAAATCACCCTGGAGGCTTCAGTGTGATCTAGCTTCAAAAGACATTTGTCCAGAGCCTTTACTGAGAATCCCAAGGCCTTTGAGCCTGAGAGAATGTTGCAGCCCCTCAAAATCTGAACAGAGGTGTGCTTGTTAAGTGTTGACCCATGGCTTTGATTCCAGACTCTGAAGACGGACCATCCAAAGGTAGCTGCCTGGTACTGGGGCCAGAAGATTGGAAAGCTCTACCAGAATATGAACCCAGGTACCCTCTGCCTCATCCTGCTGCCAGGATGCAAGAGGTAAGGACAGTGATGGGCTGTTCCTCATGACCATGGCCCCTAGACTTAAGCTATTCTTGGAAAAAGGCCTTTTGTTAATGTCCAGGCACATAGTGAAGACTTACAGGAGTCATCTCTTAATTCTTAAATCTCTTAGTTATAAAAGATAGGAATTATATTCTCATTTTACAGTTATATAGTCTTATATCACACTTACTGATTCTTCAGGAAACAGTTAATGACAGTTTAAAACCAGAGGACTTACATACTTCAGTCTCTCTGGGGTAAGAAGTAGCTGCTTAACCTCACTTGAAGAAAAAAGGTCAGATATCCTAAGAGGAGGCCCTGGCTTACGAATGATCAGGGTGTACCTCCTGATATCAGGAGTTTATTGCTCCCCTCCCCTTACCCCATCCCTACCTCTGTTTACTTTTAAGTTGTGTTTTGTTGATTCTAAGCCTAAGGATTACTAAAGTGTAGGACTCTTGGTCTAATTCCAGCTTTCTTTATCTATCTCTCAAGTAGTTAAGATATTTTCCCATTACAGGTTTCTAAAATGAGGGATTCTGGAGTAAGTCAGTGATTTTCAAATCTTATTAATAGTAAACCCTTTTCCTCAAAGAAAAACTGATGTTAATAGAGCTGGGCACATACCTGTAATCCCAGCACTCAGGAGCTGAGGCAGGAGGATTGCAAGTTTGAGGCCAGCCTATGCTACATAGTGAGACTGTGACTCAAAAAGCCAAAAAAAAAAAAAAATGTTAAAATGAGTAGATGAATGAATGAGTATGTAGAACGGAGCAAGAAGGAAAAAAGAGTGTCCTTTTGGAGTGGTTTGAGAAGCAGTGGGCTAAGCAACTCTGACATTCTAGGACATGGCAGACTGCAAATAGCAAAGTTTGAATATCTCAGGCCTTGAAGCCTGGGTCAGAAATACATTTCCTGTCATAAAGTCCTTGTAAAGTGCATTGAGGGTCACTGGTGACATGGTATGCCTGGTGGGTAGCTTGAAGGTATTGCTTTCTCTAAGAAGCAGAAAACAAGTATTAGACCGGGGGGAAAGCTCTTAGATCAATACACTCTGAACAGTCTTATGGGTAGGCTAACAATTAAAAAGTGAAAAAAAAAATGAAAACAAGCAAAATGTGACCAAAAGTTGCTGATAAATCTTTGTTTAAGAGCAAATGCCCTCGGGGGACAGATAGACAATTCGCCATTAGATAGCTCCTCAGTGCCAATGTATATGGAAGAAGAGGTGGTATAGGGGATTAGTGTTCATGTTCTCAAGTAGAATGTTTACACTGCTGTCACTGTTTTGTAGATAAACTAAGAAGGAGCAAAGCTCTGTCGTTCTAGAAACAGTATAAATATTCCATAGACGGTAAAGGCTTGGGAAAGGCAGTACAGGAGCCAGGCAGCAGAAAAGGCTTAGGTTCTGATTGAGGCAAAGACCCTGAGAACAGTAACAATTCAGGAGAATAAGACCCTCTAGAAGCAACACATCCTGTAGTGAAGAAACTCAAGTTACCCCTTTCTTTTAAAAGTCACACTATGAAAAAGAGAATTAGAAAAAAAAAAGTCATACTGTGATTTCTGTTGCCATATTGATTAAACCAAGTAGCAGCTTGCATTTTCCTAAGCTGTCAGCATGGTATATCACTGACTTCTCTGGCCTTGTCTGCAGCTTCTCCATGATGCCAGTGGACTCTTGGGAAATCAAATGCTTAGGAAAAAAGCTAAGCAAAGACAAAAGAAGGTTTCCTCAGCCAGGGGCCTGACTCAGCTCTTAATCTTTACATTTCTGGTAGCTGCTGAAGTTGAAAATAGTAATAATTGGGGCCGAGGATTTAGCTCAGTGGTTCCTGCAAGTGCAAGGACCCAAGTTCGGTCCCCGGTACCAAAAAAAAAAAAAGAAAGAAAATAGTTATAATCACTGTAATTGATCGAACCCTTAGTAAACAGCAAATATTGTGCTGTGTGTGTTTGGTTATGGTTGTTAGAATCCCTGTTTGACAAGGAGAGACTTAAGTCTCAGCTTAAGCAACTTAAGAATCACACAACTAGCAAGTACATAGTCAGAATTCGAACCTTGGTGATCTGACTCCAGGGCCACAAATTGCCCTCAAAATTCCACTTTTCCATCCCCAAAGGCTAGTACTACTAGCTTAAGGTCAGACCTCAGCTAAAGTCAGATTCTGTGTGTTTGTCTTTGCTTATTTCTGCCTGCCTGCTTATCCCTTTAACTAATTACACAAATATTCATGACAAAGTGCAGGGAACTAGCAGGTATTGGATGATTCCTAAATTCTAAGTACTCTGGCAGGTGTTTTACAACATACATTATTAAATAAGTTAATGTTTTGTAAAGTTTTTCAAGTAGTGTTTGGCACACACATAGTAGGTGCTACAAGTGTTTAAGTGAAATGAACAAAAGACTAAGCAATTTATAAGGACTCTGAGGACACAGTTCCATTCTTGACATCCTGGTTTTGTCACTAAACAGTTGTATGACTGGAGCATTTTGTGTGTGTGTGTGTATATATATGTGTATATATATATATGTATCTGTTTCTTTATTTGAAATGGAGATGGGAGTTGTTCTTACATTATTAAGGTGTTTTGAGGATTGAATGAGACAAGTGCTTAGGACAATCCTTGGGGTGTACTAAGAACTCAGTGTATGTTGGCTGTTATTGTCTGTAGGTCTCATGAAAAGCCTTGTGAAACAGTAATTTATAGAGTTGCACAGTTGTAAAATGAGGCTTGGTTAAGATATGCCTTATATATCTTAAGTAGCAGAGGTAGGAGTTGAATCAGGCCTCTGGGACTAGTCTGTTCTTTCCATTGAGCCATTTTCAGCAGACAGCTTTCCATAAACCTGCCTGCCTCTTGCTGTGTGGTGTACACACATCCTCAAATTCTTACTCCTGTAGCCTAGGAGTTTATAACCATTCATTCAACCCTATGGATAAAAACCTGTCTTCACTCATTTATCACAGCATTCATGGCTCACTCCCTGGCTTAGGAATGATGGGAATAAAAGACGAAGAGGAATCCACCACCACAGGCATGGGTTTGTGAGTCTGACCCCGCTTTCCACTTGTCATTTCTTGTCTTTTGTGGGCAGCTGCCAGCCCTCTCCATCCATCAGTCAGTTTCATGGAAACTTGGTATACCAGCTAAGGAATCTGTACAGTTTACTTGGCATGGACAAATTTTCATTAAATGCCTGAAATTCAGGCATTCTTCATCGTAAGGGAAGAAACTAGCTTTATTTTCTTTTTGTCAGTGAGTTTATGTAGCACTCCCATGAAATGGTATATATCGATAAGGGAGTCAGGAAGAATGACTTTTGTGTGGAGAAAACAGCTGAATAAGCAGTTTGTCGAAGTTGTAATAGATATTTGAATAAAGCAAATTTCTGTAAGACAGATTGTGTTCTTATTGGGAGGAAATCATAAAATTGAGGGGGGAAAGATAGACTGAACTGAAAATCTGCACGTTCACTGGAGTGGAAGACTTTTTAGCTTTTTACCAACTCTGGAAACCTTATTCCATGTTTGGGAATCCCTCCTTCTTCAGAAGATGGCTGCAGTGCCACCCTTTACCAGTAGGTGCCTCCATCACACCAGCTCTCTCCCCAGGAACTGGAAACTGAACTCTGTGAAAGCCAGGGCTTTGCCTTTTAACCAGCTAACTGGTTACATTCTGTTGGAAAGGACATGGGGCACAGGAGTACAATTCCAAAACTGGTAGAGATGTAGAGATACTAACTATACTCCAAAAAGGTGAACTAATCTATCATATAGTGTATATATCTCATCAAAAACCTTGCTCCATAATCAGACCTTACAATCTCTAGGATAACAATCACACAAAAACACATGTAAAGGAATTCTAGATAACCATTTTTAAATGTGTCTGTGCGCACACACACATGCCCAGAGTGCCTAATGTTGGATCTCAGTTTACTCATTGTTGACTTGAATTACTTAGCATCTCAGTTCTTGGGATAATAATTTTAGGTTTATCATGATGATAAATGAAGTTATGCATGTAATTATGCACACATATATGCATACATTATGCATTATGTGTGTGTGTATATATATGTATATATATATATATAATTTGTTTTATGAAGTGTGGAAGGCTACAGAATAGTTTGAATCTAATTTTATAGGAAAAATTTTACAAAGCTATTCTTAGGCTTGGAACTAAACCTAGAAGGCTGTTTCCCAGAATGTTAACAGTGCTTCTCTCTGGCTAGTGTGATTGGCAAATTAGGTTCTGCCAAATGCTTTTCTGTGTGTAAGGTGGACTTAAAAGCAGGACATGCTTTTATGATTAGAAAAACATTTATAATTCTTCTTAAAATTAATTCTCAAGGTTGGCCATTTAGGGATGTTTAATCCTTTAAATGTAACAAGATCTGGCCCTAAATGGAGCTAGCACTGAAGAACTGGATTTGGGATTAGGACATTGCAGTTTGGAGCCCCTCTGTCAGGAATATAGTCTTCTGCCAGCTTCAGCTGCAAGGCCCTGAGAACAACTTGAATTGACGGTGTTGCCGGATTCCTTCCTGCCCAACTGAGCTTCAGAACTGTGGAAGTTTAGTTGATGCGTACCTCTTGAGGCTCGTCCCAAGAGACAGAGTACATGTCTGTGTTGGATGTGAACAGACGTGGACTGCAGCTTCAGCTTTGCACCTGGGTATTCTTGGATGTTAGTTAACCTTATGTGGTATATAAGTTTCTATTTCTAAAATAAGGAAATATCTACTTTTACAACCTTGGGAGAACTCAAAATATCTTTTGTGGAAAATGACAGAATAGTGGACTATGTATGAGTTATTTTCCTTGTCAGAGCCTTTTTCCTCACCTTTAAAGTGGGGGAAATTTGTACCTAATTCATAAGGTTATTATAAGAATTAGAGGAAGCCTAGATCAAGTGGTCAATAAATGACAGGTATTTTACTATGGATCAGCTTTATAAAGTGCCGAAGCAGATTAGAGCTCCCAGAACCTAGGGTACTCCCCTGGCTCCCAAAACTAGCCAAGACCATTTCCTTCTGGATGGGTGGGGCAGGAGGTTTCCCCTGGGCCCCAACCCCAGATCCCTGCAGAGACGGACCTGGACCACAAGGCCTCTGAGACCTCGGTCTGCACACACTGTTCTTTCAGTCCATGCTCCCACCTTTTGGAAGCCAAAGCTGCCAACTTGGCCTCTTGCAAAACACACATTCCATTCATAAGTGCGTTTGTGCATTTGTCCTCCCACACCCTTCTAGGCAGCCAATGCAGAGCTGCCAAGGCAGCTGCTGGAGAAGTGGTGTCTGGTGTAGGGGGAAAAGGCAACTCTTTTACAGAACTCTCGATTCAGGCTTGGAACATATTACTCCCATTTTCTGGCCCACGTCTGTTCAATCAGTAATGGACACTCAGCCATGTTCATGTTCATTTCCTTTGTTGCCTTCTTTGTAATAACCTCTTCCCTATAAACAGGTTCCACCAATAAATGGAAGTCTGAAAAATTAAAATTACATCTAACCCTACCACTCAGAGTCAGTGACTGTCACTATTTTACCAGTTCCTGTCAAACTTTTTCCATCATTAGTCAAAAGCAGTTTTAAATACCTGTGTAATATTGGGGTGTCATGGTTTCTAAAACACAACCCTGTTGTTGACACTTAAGTTCCCAAATGCTGCTGCCAGTTACATCCTTGCATATACATAGTTGGCAGTTATTACCCTAGGTTCCTAAAAGAAATTATTGAATTAAAGAGTATTAACATTTACATTCCTTTAACTCCAGAAAGGTTTTTGCTGTTGGCCAGCATGGGTTTAATAATCTCTGCCAGGGCCGGGGATTTAGCTCGATGGGTGCCGCTGCCTGCCCCACAAGCGCAAGGACTGAAGTTCGATCCCCCGTACAAAAAAAAAAAAATCTCTCTGCCAATTTGATAGATTAAAAAAGTTTTCATTATAGATCTAATTCCTGTTTATTTGAATACGTTTTCGATTGACATCCAACTTTTTTTTTCCAGGAGCTTTTTGGCCAATTACTTTTTTCTTCAGAGTTGTCCAGATTTGCCCATTTTTTGGTTGGAAAACCACGTACTTTTCCATACTGAATATTTAAGACCTTAAGGATCAAGAAGTATCCATTTGTCAACTATTGCAAAAATGGTTCTAGTTTGCTTTTTTTTTTTGAGATAAAGAGTCTCTCTTTGTAGTGCAGTCTGGCCTTGAACTCAAGGTGATCCTCCTGCCTCAGCCTCCCAAATGTGAATGTGATGCTGAGATTACAGGCGAGCACCACCACACTGGGTTTTAGTTTATTCTTCAGTGATTTCTTCTGTTTGCTTTTATGTTTAGAAAGTCCTGACTGGTCCAGAGATAAACTTTTAAATACCCACTGGCAAGTTCATATATATTACTTCTCATGAATTTTATAGTTATACCCTCATTTTTGGAACTTATTTTGCCATATGGTGACTTTTCCCAAATATTTAATTTTACCTAATTACCTATCATTATTCGCCCAAGAAAGGAGGATGCCTCCTTTTTGTAAGTCTACATATGTACCAGAGCTGGGACCTACATTTCTGTCTCACAATAGTACAGTCTTGTAGCTATTTTAATATATTAGCAATGGCTCATGAGTCCCCATTAGGCTGGATTACAAGACACCAAGAATTAAAATGCTTTTGCTGCTGACTGCATTAGTACTGTTTCACTGGGACCTCCTCAGCACCCTTAAACAGAAGCTAAGGTCAGAACATTACAAAGAATGCTAAACTCAGTTAGAGTTTTACGGCTTTCATAAGACAGGGTGTATCCTCAGAAGTCCCAGGAAAGGACAGGAAATGAAGGTTAGATAGCTTTCCTGACCCTTCCCAGTCAGATTAACCCTTTCTAGTCTGGATCTAAACCCAGAGCTACCGGGTTGATTTCCAGCTGATTCTCCAACCTGCCTGCTTCGGTAACTTGATTTGACAGGAGGGAAAAGGCTAGGGCTGAGTGACTCTTCTGGACCTGCCGGACTACCTTCAGTAAACTGTACTTGCTTGGCAGAAAGTCTATTCCACATGCAGTTACATTCATCTGGCAATGTGTGAAAGTTGCTTGCCCCTAATCCAATTGAAAATTGGATTTTAGCTGTATATAATTTCTGCAGCACTGTAACAACACCTGGAATAGCTTCAGGTTTTATATAAGCACCCAAATCTGCATCTTCCACTTTTGTTATTCCCCCAATCTGTTAAGGTCCTGGCTGGGCTTGCTAACTCAGAAAGGCCAAAGCACAGAAGAAACAAGCCCCAGGGCCAATGGGAAATAGTTCCGGAGACCTACTTTTTCAGAGAAGAAAGTCACTCCCTAGATTTTCTTTCAGCCTCTACCTTGTTCATAGAAAAAAAAAAAATTCCAATTCTTTGCGGAAACCCTAGAAACTTCTCCTTAGCGAGGGAATGTATCCATGACACCTAAAACTTTTGCAACCAAAAAGAAAAAGCACATCTGACCCTTACCACTGTATTTACTTATTTTTAGGAGACAGCAATATGAGGTTGGGAATCAGGGGAGGTCATCAGGGCCTCCATCAAAGAAATGAGTAAGATGGCTGGTCAGTAGCTTTCCTGAATGTGAACAATAGCTAGATGAAAGACAGTGGAAGGAAGCTAAGGGTTCTACAGTTTACCATATGCGAATCTTCTAGAACGTAAGAGGCAGATGGGAACCTTGAGGCTCATGTTCAATTCTCCCCTTCCCCGTTTTGGCAGAGAAGTTGAACCTCTAGGGGGGTAGTGACATGAAAGATCACTTGTAACCATATTACTCCCCTCCCCCATTCTCCGGATTCCCTGCATTTACTTACCTAATATCCTTTTGGAAAATCTTAAAGTATGTAGTGATTGAGCACCTCCAGGTCTTAGGTACTTTATAAAGACTTTCTTTTAAATCTTTTTTTGGCGGGGGGCGGTACTGGGATTGAACTCAGGACCCTGTGCTTGTGTCTTTTAAATCTTAATACAATGGAAAGATTCCTTCAGTTTACAAATGAGTGAAAGAAAAACAAGTTCACTAACTTGCCTATGGTTGCATGGCACTGGTACCAACAGTTAAGGCTTGTCTCCTTTGTCTCAATCACTGCAAACATAATGTAGGGGCCATGCACTTTTTCAGTTATTAAAACTATTAAGGTAGTGGTCCTATAAGGACTCATTTTCTGTTTGCCTACAAATACTGGGACCTAAGCCCCAAAGACCAGCCATTTAACTTTGGTACATAGGAAGTCAAATACCCATGTTTGGAGCCTGGAGATTTTGTACTGTCTGGATTATTTTCCAAAGCATAAGAATTGTTTTCCAATATTGTCAGGTTGGAAGAGGCCCTTAATGGGTAAACCTTGTCCCAGAATAAAGTGATTTTCATTTTTGCAGAAATATCAATAGTCAGGTAAACAAATTTATTAAATCCAACAGCAAGTAACCTTCCAAATAAAAAAAAGACATCAGAAGAAAAAAATAACGTAGACATCAAAGACAAATGTGTGTAACAAGTCAATAAAAATATTTTAAGGGGCCATTTGGAGAGTGCAACAGTGCAGTGAATATAAACAAAAGTATTAACTTTTGTCAAGTTTGTACAACCTCATGAAACAGACACACTGATCACAAAGTAAGAGGGATCCACAAAGGTGGAGGGTCACATGAGCAATGGACTCATCACCTCAGCGGCTTAAGGCAGGATATGTGTATGACCAATCCATCCAAGCCCCGTTTGCCTATTGCTTCAAATTCCCTCTTTAAAACCTAGAATCATGTTCATTAGTGCAACAGGTAAGAGCAGTTAAACACAGAATAAGGGCCAAGGTCAAAGGGAAGACGGCTCTTCCAGAGTAAATGTATGTGTTTGGGAGTGGGGGGACAGCAGCTGCTGAATGGCTTCCTTTGGCAATACCCAAGATTTGACAGTAGCAGGGAGGATGGTAGGTGGTGGAAGTAGGTAACAATGAGAGCAGGCTGGCAGGAAGAAGGGGAGAATGTGATACCCCAGCACCTGAATTAGAAAGAGAACTTGATGGTTCCTCATAGCTATTCCAACTCTCCTGGCTTCTGGAAACAGTGTTGAAGCATCAATTTATTTTGTCTTTTAAAAGGGGGAAAATCCTGCCAATCTTGACAGACATGTAGCCCCAGTCTAAGGCCAGATATGCTGTAATTAAGCCTACCAGGGGAATAAACTCTAAAGGGAGGATGGTGGGATTCCCCTCTGTATGACTCAAAAGAGACTGGGACTAAGAGGAGGATCAATGTCATGTTCTTAAATGAGTCCCAACCGACACATTCTAGTAACTTTAATAGTCCTTTCCGTCATTTAAACAAATACTGCCAGAGTTCTCCAAGGAAGACCTTTGTCAGTTACCAAGATGTTCAAATTCAAGTCTATCAAGGAAGACCTTTGTCAGTTACCAAGATGTTCAAATTCAAGTCTATC